AACTCAAAGAGTTTTGTTTGTTGTTTTGCTTCATTTTTCAATCTCAAGTGTGCTTTGGTACTTTTTTCTCTCACATGCAAAAGCTTTTGGATTTATTTTTGTTCAACGAACGTCTTGGAGAAAATTTCAAGTTTAATTGTTGTGGTGCCCTTTTGGATTTATAAGAAAAATAAGAGTCAATGGCCCGGAAAAAACCACAAGAAGTTTTTTTTTTTTTTTATCTTTCTTAGTTAATAAAAAAACTTTGTATAAAAAATAAAAAATAAATTAAATAATGGTTTGTAAGATAGTCCAACTCATAAATCTTAATTACCTTTAACAACCACTTCATATTAATTAACTTTATCATTTCAGTTAAAAAAATTCAGTAAAAAAAAAAAGTTTTCAATTTAAAGAAAAAAGTTAGCGGGTAAATGGGTATAGACAAGGAATGGGCAGGGGTAAAGAAATGGGTAAATAATTTTTAGTGGATAATGGATAGGGTAATGGATATAGTATTTTTTTTAGTTGATAGAGTAAGAGATTAGCTTAATGGGTTGGGTACCCGACCCATTGCCATCCCTAATCAAGATCCATAAGCTTAGACTTCATACCAAGAAACTATTTCAAATCAAATATGTCGGACTTAAAATCACTAGCAATTACAATGTCATCCATGTATACTAACAATGCAATAAATTATGTGAAATAATACACATTATAAATAGAGAATGATCTACTTTAGATTATTGAAAGCCATACTCAACCAAGTGTTATAGTAAAATTGGCATTCCACTACCTAAAAGTCTCGCTTCAAACCATATAAGGACTTATATAATTTACAAACTAATTTATGTGAACCACCTATATACTCCCCTTAAGCTTGTAACCAAAAAAAGGATCCATAAAAACTGCTTCATCAAGGTCACCATATAAGAATGCATTATTAATTTCAAGTTGAGAGAGAAATTAACCTTTAATAGCTAAGGTAAGAAATAATCTAATTGTGTTATGTTTGGTAATAATGTTGAAAGTCTCTTGATAATCAAACTCTTTAATTTAGCTGTAGCCTTTTACAACAAGTCCGGCTTTATACCTCTCAATATTGCCATTAGCCTTGAGTTTAACCCTTGTAAATCCATTTATAGCCTACTATGTGAGACCTTGCGGATAGTGGTACCAAAGACCAAGTATTATTTTTTTTCAATAGCTTGTAATTCCGCCTATATAACATCTTTCCAATGCTCAAATTTCAAAGCTTGGGAGTAAGTTTTAGGTTCATAAGTGTTTGGTAAGGAAATAATAAATGCGAGTACGAGAAGGTGAAAGTTGAGAAATAGACACAAAGTGATGAATAGGATAATGGGTATAATAAACCATATTACCGTGAGAAACAAGTGTTATTAGAAGGTAAAGAATGTTTATAAATGTCTAAGTGTATAAGAACTCTAATGGATCTCCTAGATTTTCATAAATGAGGTGATGGAGGAATAATAAGTGAAGATAAAAGAGATTTAAAATGAATAGCAGGGAGGAGAAACGGAAAGGAAAAACTTCATCGAAAAAATGAAAGCAAGACAATCATTCAAAAAATATATATATAATGCATTAGTAGGTATATTAGCAAGGTTAATGGGATTTTGAGTGTTGAAAACATAATAAGAAGGTTGAATGGTAGTGAAATAAAATAAATTGGTTTTGGAAGAAGAAAAGGAAGGAAACATTGAGGATAATTCATGTGTAAAAAGAATAGAAGAAGAAACATAAGAAAATTAAGAATAAATAGTCTCATGAAAAAACATCTTTAGAGATAAAAACTTTATGAGAAACAATGTCATAGACTTTATATCCTTTAACTCCAGGAGAATAGCCAAGGAACACACAAAGTGTAGTTTTAGGTTGGAAATTTTTCTTATTATGAGCAACAAGTAGAAACAAAACATAAGGATCCAAATACTTTCAAGTGATTATAAACTGGAGGTAATTTGAACAGAATCTCATAAATAGGTAAAATATTTAACAAAGAGGAAGGAATTTTATTGAACAAATAAGTAGCAATGAGAACAACATCTCCCTAAAGTGGAGGTAATTTGAATAGAATCTCGTAGAGAGTCAAAATATTTAACAAAGAGGAAGGAATTTTATTGAACAAATAAGTAGCAATGAGAAAAACATCTCCCTAAAGTTTTATAGGTAAAGATGCTCGGAAAAGAAGGGATCTAGCTACATTTAACAAGTGTTGATGTTTTCTTTCAACAATAACATTTTGCTGAAAAGTCCTTACATAAGATAATTGATGAAGAATCCTTTAGAAGCATAAAAGAGTAGAAGATGGAATTCAAGACCATTATTAGATCGTATTTGTTTTATAAGCAAATGAAACTATGTAAGGATCATTTATTAAAACGATGAAAAGATAGAAAAGACATCCGATTTATGTCTTAGTAAAAATATCCAAGTGACTCTAGTGAAATCATCAACCACGGTTAAGAAATAGTGAAAACCATTAAGAGAAATAATCGAATATGGTCCTAAATGTCCATATGAATTAATTCAAAAGGAAAAGAAGTATTTTTTATTATGAATAGGAAATGACAAATGTTTTTGTTTTTCCAAATGACAAACAAAACAAATCTAGTTATTATATTGAATAATAGGATGCCATTGACTAATTAACTTGACTCTATCGGATGATACATGACCTAAATGACAATGCCATTTATTTGAGATCGTAGGATTCATAAATTTTTCACTAACTATTTAAGCATTACAAAAGTGTTTGATAGAGGAAGAAAGACAATCCGAAATAGACCGAATAGGAACAATCATGCTTGAAAGCTAGCAATTCGATCATTTTCCCTAAAGAGTTATCTTGAATCATACAACAATTACTAGTAAAAATTAGTTTGTATTGAGAATTGATTGCGAGTTTATTAACTAAAATGAGATTAAACTTGAAAGAAGGAACGTAGAGGACTTAATGCAAGATTAAAGAAAAAGACAAAAAAACCTTGACTAATATGAGTAACAATTGCCTTATTGCCATTTGGCATTTAAACCGCCATGTTGGTAACAACTTTAAAAGAGAACAAGATATGTGATCAGTTGCACTTGTATCGCTTATATAGGTGTAGATTAAATAGAGATGAAATGTTCCGTGAATGACAACAAGTAGACGTAATGGAAATATTACTTATAAGACTCGGAAATAGGTTGTGAATGAGGTATAGTAGAAGAGTTGATGTGATTGAGGGAATGTGAAGACAGAACTTATGAATCTTGAACATTTAAAAGAGCCATGAGTCCGAAAACTTGCTCTTAAATAAATGTAATACTATGAAGAGTGATTTGACTAGGTTAAGCAATATTTTAAGCAAATTTTTCTGTTCGATGTAATATTATTGATACGACAAGAGGAGCTGCCATAGCTATGACCAAAACTAGGAATAGAAATAGTATGTCTAGGAAAACTTTCATTGTTATTAAAAATTTGATTCCTATAAACTTGAAATCTACAAGAAAGCCTATAAGCTTATAGTACATATCTTTGCTATGACCTAAATTTCCATAATACAAACAAGAAATGTCCAACCTCCTTTTATTACTAGAAAATACAACCATAGCAAAACATTCATTTGAAGGTCGATGAAAAACTTGTACAAATCTCTAAGACTCTTCTCTCATAGCCAGTGTTATATACCTCATCTAAACTTGGAAATAGCTTCATAACCAAAACTTGAGATTTTAAAGAAGAAAATGACTCATTTAATCTATCGAGAAACTTAAACATATAGTCCTTCTCATAATTTTCCATAAATTTTTGAAAACGATTCGGTATTACATATTCCATAACTATAGTGAGGTAAAGGTCTAAAATTCCTCAATTCTTCCATACTCCATTAAATTTAGTGAAATAAGCATTAATAGATTTAGTACCTTGTGTAATTGAACATAACAAAGAACTATAAATTGCAAATCTTAGATTCATTTGGTCGAGAGAGTTTTTTCTTTATAACTTTCCCAAATCTTCAAGATTGAGTTCATATAGAATACTATTGTAGCAATAGGAGATGACATTGATCTTAACGATCAAGCTACTATTAGATTATTAAATCGATTTCAAGAATTGAAAAGAACATCATCATCTTTATGTTGTGAAATAAGTCATCAATAAAACTTAATTTGTTGCGAATTGAAAGAGCAAGAGCCAAAGGTCTCGTTTCTAAGTAGCATAGTTCTCCGTAGTTAACGCAAGAGTAACCGTAAGAGAACCAAGTGATGAATGAAATATGAAGAGTGAATATCACCAAGCGATGGAACCGATTTAGTAGTCACGATGAAGTATGAGAAAGATTAGAATAATACTTTTGAAGAAGGAGAAGAGAAATAAAATCGATGAAATCAATAGAATAGGAAACCCTAGAATGATTCTATCTCCGATACCATATAAAACGAGAGAGAAGAAAAATTGAGAGAAGGAAATTTGGTAAAGCATGTCTTTCTTTAATTATGCAAAAGAAGACTAATACCATTTGAACGGGTCTTGTTCTTATACTAAACCTAACTGAAAATTAAGTTAATAAATTGACTGACTAAAAGCTAACTAATTAGAAACTAAGAAAGTAATTTATTCATGTGGCATTAACTCTAACAAATTGCACACGTGGCTTTGCACTCTCTTATAAAATATGATAGCAGTGGGGTATTTGGGGATCACTTTGGATTGCCACCGTTAGCTCTCCATGACTTGAGACCAACTACGTGAAGTCACATCAGTTGGTGTGATGCCCAATCCCATACGTTCTGAATACATGGGGGTATATAATTCTAAGTTCAGCGAGTTTTTCACAAAATAATGCAAGACGATTTAATCAATCAACTAATTAAAGGCTTTGAGTTTTCACAATATTAAGACAATATTGCAGAAATACGTTATAACAGCAGTATTCAGTGTTTTCTACTTCACAGTGTTCAAACAACAACTGCATTGATATGTTTTATTAATTCCTTCACGATCACTTTCACTGGCAATGCAAAGTAGCCAAAGGCTGGCCGAGAAGAGAAGGCCTGTAGAAGGCATGGCTTTGCGCAATCTCGATTCGTTCCCGGGGATCATTCAATGTTTCATCCCTCAAAGCTTGCAGAATAGCTTGTGACGATTGCTCCCTGAATATCCAGATATCACCACAAGTAGAAGATTAGCTTTCATTGATGACAAGAACAAACTGTAATAATTTGAACCGAGGACAATAAGAGATGTAGAAAAGGTATTTATCCGCAAAACATGTAGGCTCTGCTCTAGGAATGAAGTTTTTCTAAAAATGTCCAGAATTCGTGTATAATAAGTACAATAAGAAAGCAAGATTCACGCCACTGCCAACCATGGTCTGTAACATAGCATCTTCGCAAGCCTTGTAAAATTGATAAAATTTTTAAATCTGTCAAAATTGTTGTTTTCAATCATAAAGTTGTACTACAGTATGAGATTACCTTATTATCAGTATTTTATACAAAGTTTTTAAGATCGGGCAGAGCTCAACAGGTGCAACAGGCTTCTTTTCATCAGGATGTAACAGGCTCAAGCTTGACTGACTCAGGAGTTCATAGAATGCTCCAACCGCTGAAACACCCTGCAAAATAAAAAACACAACAGACTCGAATTTTTATACCCAACTAGTTAGGGATTGAGGAAAAAGAAAATCTCTCAAATCAAGCTTGGGGATGTTATACTGGTACAATGTTTAGGATTCCATTACTAGCAAATCCAGGGCATCAGTATAACAATCCTGAGCTAGCATGCAGAAAAAGCACTACCTCACGTGCATAGAATTTGTTTTTAACCAAAGGTCATTCATAGCTGTACATTTGACTAGTAGAGCAAAGATAAAACCACCACTTCAAGTTGTCAAAGACTTGCACATCAGGTAAGTTAGGCTTTCTAACAAAGGCAAGCGCTGCCTGTTCTATGCTTTGCGATATAAATGTTCAAAAAACACATATGAGCATAAATATTGTCTCGCCTCTTAACAGATCTAAAGTTGAAAGAGACAATAATACTGATTTAAGAAAGTATAAGGAACCATCTTCCTTATGCAGTCAACGTACAGCCACACTGCAAACATACAATTTCTCTCAGACTGAATGATTTCATCTCATAAACGTTAAAAATAAAGTATCAAAATAAACACAAGTACCTGAATCATTCCTTTCCCACTGATGCTATCGCCCATATCTCGACTAAGTTCCCCTTTGGCTAACATTTGGCCATACCATGCATTACGACCCTTTAACAAGGTTACGTATGTGTCCGCCAGCAAGGGCCCTGCAAGCTTCTCAGGTTCTTCCGCCAATAGATGAGTAATAAATATCATCTCTGATGTACAATGTGCAAAGTATACTGACTTGCTGGTAGCACTTTCATTAGTAAGGGCTGCCACCATTCCTGAGAAAAATCAAATTGGAAAAGTGAGTTTGCAGATTCAAAGCAAAAGCTAAATGTTACAAGCTAGGTTGTTCATTTTGCTTATTGTTTGTAATGATGTGCAGGCATACAGCATGGTGTTCGGAATCATGCTCAATGAAAATTCACAATTGCTGAATCAATACATCACCACTGTCATGTGGGTTAAGACTTAAGCCCCATTTTTCCATGACCCATATTTCAAAGAATTACAGCAGATGCTCATTAATTTGTGCCTTCAACGATGCCTTGAAGGCACATAAATACAATTAATGCCATTTCACAGAATGCGTAGTGCTTTTTATAGAGTTCTTTACGACTTTATGATGCCTAGTTATGGAATATATTGTCTGTTTTTACAGAATTCTTTATGACTGCAGCTAGGCTTCAATAATATGGCACATGATTCAGTACATTCATCAATTACAGAATTTATTGGTAGAATTACGAAGTTATGGTGTGGCATTATGGAACGGCCCAAATCATTCTGTAAAAAGAAAATAATTGTAATGCTTTCATTAAGGAATTGCACAAATCGCACCATGAACCATGTTTTTATATCCTTGATAACTAGAAATAATGAGCAGGCAAGAACTAGGTAACATCTGGAGTCTGGCCATGCATCTAAAAGAGATATTGGTTGGGTAGAAATTGAGTTTAAAAACATTTTTGAGCAAGAAGAGAGTAAAAACCCACCAGCTCCAATGGCATAGACATTCTTCAGGCCACCCATGACTTCATGAGTGACAAGGTCACTGTTGTCCCATACAATGAAATGGGGCTGCCTCAAAAATTTAGCAAGAGGCTTTCTCCACTTATCAGCTCCACATATTCGAGCATTGGCATATTCCTTGTTGTATATCTCTGAAGCAATATTTGGTCCACCAAGATAAAGTATATTTTCCACTGGTACTCCAGCTGCCAAGCATAAACCACGTAAAAAATGAGGGGGGAGGTTTTCTGAAGTGGAGAAAATATTGACAGACAAGGATGAGAATGCAGGGTGGACAGAAAAATACAGAAAACCACTCAAATTTCATACTTCGTGGAGTTGAATTATAAGCATTATCAAATGATAGAAGAATTATATATTATACAAGTGGATGGAAGGGACAGTCGCATTTTAACAGAACTCATGCTTAACAGCGAAAGCCAGCAGATGGGGATAGTTTGGCAATAGCATTTTCATTGTTAACAGCATAAAGAAAATGCCAAAGATTCAGACCTAGAAAGTATTAATTTGCATTGATCTGCAGTCAGAAAGGTTTCTCCTAAGTTCGGTTGAGCATGAGCCGATTAGACACCAAAGAAACATAGAAGACATCTGGCTTTTTGCATAAAATATCAATGAAGTTGTTGAGCTAGCTAACAAAGCTTTTTTGACCAAATAAGTAAAACCAGTCTAAGAAGTACGAGGTGATTATAAAATTGCAAGAGATGATTAACAAAATGTTGCATTACGAATAATAAAGCAAGAAAAGGTTGCTTGTGCTTGGAGACAAGGAAAGGAGAACACTTACTCGCTCTGTTAATCATTTGCGTAGGTGTGATTATATGGGGAACAGGCTCTAATGCAGCTTCTATACCCTTTGCCAAAGAGATGATGATTGGTGTTGTGATTCTCTCCTTCCAATATTGATTGATCTCTTCAAAAACCTCGCGTGTCTCTGTGGAAGGCACGCCATTTACCACAATATCAGCATCCCAGACAGCCTCTTGCAAATTAGTCACAACCTTCAAAGGACAAAGTGGTGTATCAATCATGTTCAAGCAAAATCCATCTTTCAGAATCTCATCCGCGAAAAGAGTCCGATCGCCTAGCCTAGCCTCCACGTACTTCAAATATGCACACCGCCGGATCAACCTCCTCAACACATCCTCCCTCGAATTGATCACTTCAAAGAGATGTTCTGCTGTGACTCTATCAACAGCTCTTCCAGGCCTTCTCCATATCCTGATTTGGACTTTCTCTCGAAACTGACCATAACTATCCTGCAGCAAAGCTGCAAAAACACTTCCCCAAGCACCCGCCCCAACACCAACAATTCTCAAAGGATCGCCATCGGCCTTGCCGAGAAGACTTCGAAGCTCATCAAGCTTCTCTTCTAAACCATTACAATTTGGAGCAGACCATCCATTATTATGATGATTCATTGCCTTAATACTTCCAACCATCTTCTTCCAGCAACAATAAATCAACAAGAACAAATTCTGTCCGAAGAAAAGGAAAAAAACTGTACTTTAATGGGTTTCCTCACCAATCAATATTGAAATTTAACCAACTATGCCAAATTCTAAAACCAATCCAACTTTGATATTTATATGGACTTCGATCTGACAACTCCGAACTACTCGAATCTTCTCTTCCTAATTCCCAAGTTGCCACCTTGCAATAAAAGAATGAAATCTTTATTGGTAGATCTTATTACCAAAACCAAAACTAATTTTTCATCCCTCCACTGAGATTTTCAAACCAACCAATAAAGAAAACCTCCAACAATTTAACTCAAAAGTACAAAACAAAACAGGAAAAAAAAAGAGGTATGAATACATAAACCCCTTTCTATCTACTTAATTAGTACATGACAACATGAGAAAAATCAAACACAATAGCTTTGTTTTGTCCGTCTGAGTTTGTTCATCCACCCAACTATAAACTTTCAAAAAGACAATAAACATATATATATATATATATAAAAGAAGTCAAAAAACACCGACCTTATCGTTAACTACAAAGCATGTTCATTTCCTATCAATCATCAAGACCCACCAAAAGTTTTGGTAGCAAAGAATTCAGCTTGCATTGTTTGCAGGGAAATAAATTAAGCATGAAAGAATGCAATGTATGTGAAACTTGGTATATATATAGTGAAGAGACATAAAAAGTGCATGGAGGATGAGAAAGGGAAGCAAAAGAGCGGTGAAAGCAGCTTCAAAAATTTTCGCTTGAAGTGATTGAAAGAGAGAGAGAGAGAGAGCGGGGAGGAAGACAGAGAGGCATTGATGGTTACAGTTGAGTTGAATTGGCAATGGAGAGATTGCATTAAAGATTTTGGATGCTGCCAACTTCCCCCAACGGTCATTAATATTCGATAACTTTGATCTGGCCTTCCCTTCCCTTACCCCCATGTCTCCTCCCCTAATTAACTTAACAACGAGAAATTTAGTTAACCATCTACCAAATTGATCCTAGCAATGTACGTATTTCAGCTTTCTTAATTAGAATTAGTACAGAAAGCTCATACTACAGCCTATTATTTGGTTCACTTTAGTCTGTATGAAAAATAGGAAGAGTTGTTCGATAGTGTAAATTTGGATTGTTGGGGTCCATCACCTGTTTATAGGTTTCCATATGAATTATTGATGGATAGGAATTATCATAATTCGAACCCTCACAACCACTCTTAATTAGTTGATTGTTGTAACTTTTTTTTTTCAAAAAAAAAAAGGAAAAATATTAATCCCTCCTAGCATTAGGAGAGCTTTATCATCCTAAACTTAATCAATTTATTTATTATGGGATATGAAATGAAGAAAAAATCCTCCAAAGTTTTGTCTTTTAAATTAATCACATCAACAGGCAACTTTGCATTGTTTGAAAGAAGTGATAGTAAAACCCCTCTTATTGCACCTGCTATAAGAAGAAGAAGAAGATAACTTTGTCTCTTAGGATAACACAGCTAACATCCAATTCTATCATTTCCAAAACATCATATATAGAACTTCCCAGTTTGAAACCAAAAACAAGTTTACATTTTTCCTGCTATCATGCTGGCCAGAGACTTAAACTCTATTCAGAAATTTCATATTTAAGTTCTTTCTCTTTTTATAATATTTTGGGGAAAAAAAAAGAGAGGAATTTATTTCTTTTTGCTGTAATAATTAATCACTAGTCTATCTATACTCAGCAGCATTCGGTGCCTAACATTAATTACGCATTTGTTGAGGTCAATAATTATAGCATTTGGTATATATCACTTTCTTTTTCACTCGTACTTCTTACAGGACCCACATTGAAAACCCTCTCTCTCTCTCTCTCTCTCTCTGTTTAAATATATATATACGTACATGTTTGGTTACTCATGGTGGGGCAGCAGTGTCCACGTTGTGTGGCATATCATAAAGTTAATTGGTTGAAGATGAAGTAATATCGAGTATAAAGGGAGTGGTTGGCTATTGCTTCTGTTTTGACAAAGCTTTCGATTTTGTACTAGGTTTTAGATCCTTGGAAACAATAAGGATAAAGATGAGGTCCTCAAAGAGAATGCAAAATTATGTAGAATCCACATGGACATGGTTATGGGATCCAAAATTCACCTATTCTATTTTTAATAATGGACCGACCGACCACTTAGGAGTTAGGATGGCGATTTTGATGTTGATACATTTAAATTTTCCATTTTCAAAAGTTTGCGTTCAAACCCAGCCCAATGGCTAAATGGGCTTATCCTAAGGTTCGGTTCAATGAGTTTCTGAATTTTAAGACTCAAAAAGGTTCAAGCCTGAACCAGCCCAATGACAGGTCCATATGTTGTAATATTAATTGAATTACCAGTCAAAAAAAAAAAAACTTATTTCTATTTTTTTTGCAGTTTTTTTATTCTTTCTAATACTCAATTTAAATTAGATTAAAAAAAAAACTAGTTCAAAATTGTTAATTTAAATCAAACTCGGTATCTCATATATATATATATATATGAGACCTAAATGAGTGAGGTTGCACAATCCGTCTTGTAATTAATCTCTATCTTAATACTTATTCTTAAGTCTACAAAAATAAGAAAGAAGTTAATAAGAATTTCATTATTTTCCGAAAAGTTTTTTGAAGCTGGATTTTAAGTACAATCCTTTTCTCTTTCTTTTTTTCTTTTTTATCATTGAAAAACCAATTCTTTAAAAAATTTATTCAATTACTAATTAACAAAAAAAAAAAAAAAAGGAAATCACTAGAAAAAAATTTCAGAATTAGTAATTATATGGAGTAAAAACTAAAAAGAAAAGAAAATAAAAAGAAAAGGACACCTCAGATGTTCTCTTCTCCTCCACCACAAAATAACACACGCTTATTATTATAAAAGCTCACTCCCTCTGTTCCACTCTTCTATAAAAAGGAAAAGAAAGAAACACATAAGAAAGACGGAGATTTTGTTGTTGGAGAAGAAATGGAAACAAAGCCAAGTGAGATCAGTAGCACAAAGATGTTTGGTGGATACAACAAGAGATACAAACATTTTAGCCCTACACTGGGTTGCTCCATGACTTTCCACATCTATTTCCCTCCTTCTCCTTCCCCTTCTCACAAATTCCCTGTATGTCCTCTTCTTTCTTTGTTTCATTTTTACTTATTTCAGTATGTAAATCAAAATACCCATTTCCCATTTTTACTTATATTTCATTTTCAGTGATCATTTGCTAGGGTTTTTAACAGTGCATTTGAATGTTCTATGTTCTTGTATACTCTAAAGTCTCTTCCTTTCTGTCTGGCTTATGGCCCTTTCATCCGTTCGGTACTACTACTATAAGTAACTTCGGATACCGAGGTCGTTAGCGAGCCGAAATCTAAAATAAATTAACTATGACTGGCAAATAAGCTCATATCGGGACTCTAGAGCAGTAATTGAACTAATGAAATGACTTTCGCGAATTATTTTCATAGTTTTCGTACTTTTTGTGAAGAAAATAAGTTCCGTTCAATTTTGAAATCGTAAATTGTATTCCTATAAAATATAAATAAAAAATAAAAGGAATATTGAAGTATCAAGCTGGGAGACTTGATAATCCAGTTGAATTTTTTTATTGTTTCTTGATAAACTCTTCTATCATTTTCCAAAATTTAATCTGAAGTAGTAAACTTTATTGAATCGAAACTTTGATTTGTTTTTGTCCAAATTCTCTGATTTTTGGGATGAAAATGGACCAATTTTGGCATGCGATGCTATTATTGTTGTTAGCTTCCAAATAATGAGATAATCAACTTTGCTTATAAATGTGTAGTCTTCTGACATCGGACTAGTGATTATTGGTGAGTTGTAGTATTTATAGCAAGATCAAGGTCTAAATTATATTGCTTTCATTGTTGAATAGGTGCTGTATTGGCTCTCTGGTCTTACCTGCACTGATGAGAACTTTATAGCTAAATCAGGAGCTCAACGCGTTGCTTCCACCGAGGGCATTGTCCTGATTGCTCCTGATACATCTCCAAGTAAGATCACAAACACCTTTGGAACTAATGTATAGCATGGTTTTGTTAATGTATGTGGTTTTAAATAGTCATTGATGGATTAGTAATTCAATCATTGATTTTTTCTTCTCTCTTTTTTTTCTTTTATCTTGATTACATGTAGAATTATTTAGTTAGTAAAACTTACTGGATGCAGTTTCAGTTCCGAACTCTTAAAATTTTGACTCGATTTAAGCATTTGAGAATGAATTTTATCGATTTGCATTCCTACTTTAGAGGCTTTCTCAGCATGTGTTTTTATATTGTGTAAGTGTTTGAGGGCTCTCTCTCTTTTACGTTTCAGTTTTAACTTTTTCCCGTGTAATAGGTTCAGGGATTTGGACTGAGGATTTGTATCTCAAAATTGTACTTGTAGGTTCCACGCTTAAAATAAACTTTAAGTTGGGTTTTTTAGTATCAATCAGTGCCGCTCTGCATATATTTGTCCAAAATCAGTTTTTACCATATTTTAGATTTTCATTTTTTTGTGTCCAAGGGAGAGGATGGGAAGTACAGTGAAATTGGTTGAGGAAAAACGTATCTGGGGCATTGGGGAGACTTAATTGCTGTTATAAAAAACAAAAAAAAGTGATGGGCATGGGAATGAAGATGTAGCTATTCTCCAGCAGTAAATAAGCTTATTTTTCTAGTTGTTTCTTGTTGTGAAGATGCATCATGTAAATGCTAATTTTATGAGTAATTATTTCAGTAGTTATTTCCATGTCCTTTTCTGCTAACTGGCTGTTTTTTTTTCTATTGCAGGAGGCCTGAATGTGGAAGGAGAGGCAGACAGCTGGGATTTTGGTGTAGGTATGCAGCTTGGGCCTTCAAATCTTAGCTTGTTAAATATCTGTGGCGTAATATAACAATCAAACTTAAGTTTTTCTTTTTCTTCATTAGGTGCTGGATTCTATCTTAATGCTACTCAAGAGAAATGGAAGAACTGGCGTATGTATGACTATGTTGTCAAGGAACTGCCAAAACTTCTCACTGAAAATTTTCCGCAGCTTGATACATCAAAGGCATCTATATTTGGTCATTCGATGGGCGGCCATGGGGCTTTAACAATCTACTTGAAGAACCTTGACAAGTACAAGGTGGTTGGTCATAATTACTCTTAAACATTCTAAGGTTTTGAGCTCCATAAGCTTTTGTATGAGCAATATTGAACGTTTATCCGTGCTGGAGTGTTTTTTTTTTTTTTTTTTTTTTGCCTGGAGGATGAACCAATTTATAATTTACTTCGCTCATGATTCTCTTTCTTTTCTTTTTTTGTGCTCGTTTTCCAGTCGGTATCTGCCTTCTCACCAGTTGCCAACCCAATTAATTGTCCATGGGGCCAGAAGGCTTTCACAAATTATCTTGGATCCAATAAAGCTGATTGGGAGGTAAAAATTTTAAGTGATATGAAGAATATAAATCTTTATTTATATTGTCTTGAATATAAGGAATGGACTTTAAAAAATGCAGGGATATGATGCCACCTCTCTGGTGTCAAAGTTCCACGATGTGTCTGCTACCATTTTAATTGATCAGGTAAAAGCTTGTCATATCTGTCTGGTTGTTTCATATGAATCGTTGTCTGGAAACCTGTATTGAGTTTATCTCATTTTGATAACAAATTAAGTGAAAAAATTTGATGGAAGTAACTCGGTACTTTACAGTGATTTCTTGGCTGGGTGATCAAGTCCTCATAGAATAAGTTGTTCCTTTAGCATTTTAAAGGATTTTAGAATATCAACACCCTTGCATAATAGAAGCATGGCTGAGATAAAATGAACTGCTAACAAAAAGTATCTTATGTAGCACCATTCAATATTCCCTTTTTGAGCAGTGCATGTTGGGAGGTAAACATGATCCATCCATGAAATGTGGACATTAAATGAATAGCATAATCTGTACATTTACACGCTCTTGATTGAGGTTTGGCCTTGTCCTCTTAGACAGTTGCGCTGTTCTGCTTTGTCTGTGCAGGGAGATGAGGATAAATTCTTGCATGACCAGCTGCTGCCAGACAAGTTTGAAGAGGCATGCAGGAGTGCTAATGTTCCACTTCTGTTGCGATTGCAACCTGGCTATGATCACTCCTACTTTTTCATTGCCACTTTCATCGATGACCACATTCGCCACCATGCTCAAGCTCTTAAAGTTTAAGTCTTTGCGGTAATACATACCTGATGTGATAGCTCCATTGTCATGGTGATATGGAGTAACTTTCGTACTTCCTCTTCCCCTGTCGTCCCCAACCCAGGCCATTTTATGAACTACATGCTTTCCCTTTGTTCCCTTGTCGACTCAGTATCTTTTGCTCTTGTAACTGTGTGGTACTTTGGTTTTAAATAAATGGTGGTATAAATTACGGATCAGCTCCTAACCTTATGGTGAGTCTCACAAGTTCCCCCTAACATATGGATTTTTGCTAGAACAATCTTTAACTTATCATCATAGTTTTAACATGAGTGTCCCCACCGTTTAGAGCTGTTAACATCAATGTTAAGTTGTCAGGTGAGTAGCATGTGCGAAGGGCGTGAAAAAAATACAATCTATATTTTTTAAGAAGATATTGGAATAAAAAAAAACCCCCCGTTTGCTTGGATGACCCCCCCCCCCAAAAAAAAAAAAAAAAAAAAAGGAGGCCCCTCTCATGATTTACCCAATCGCAATAATAGTGATATTGTCTTTTTGTTGGGTGGTAGCGAAAGGTTGATTTATGGATTTGATTTTTATATGTAGTTGCTCTATTAGTTATTGGTACTTACTTTGAAATTGAATTTGATTTCCAAGCTTTTGCTTAATTTAAATATGAAAATTGGTTTGGTAATTTTTCTTTTTTCCTCCCGGTTTCTTGGATTGATAGGTGAGGAGCAATAGATATCATGAAAGATCATTAAAAATTAGTTTTATCTGCAATTGTTTTTTTTTTCTTTTTCTTTACAAGGATAATAAGTAACTTCTATAAAAATGAATTTATTGAGATTTAATTAAAGTTGTAGCAATATGCAATGACTCAATGAATGCACAGGATCACGGGGTTATTTAGCATGGTTGCTAACAGAAATAAACGGTGGAGTATCAACCTTGATAGGTTGAGAATAGCAAGAAAACAAAACCGAGATCAAAAGTCAACTGGAATCCTGCAATCCCAGGCATCATCAACCACCAGCCTGGACTCTGGACCCTTGCGTTCGCTGTCCTGGTAGACAACTAAACTGCTAAAACTGACGTTGAAAAACGGGAAGCTCCTAAGAACTAGCAAAGTTGCACGTCTAAAAGATTTCTCCTCCTTCCATTGGGGAGCAGAAGTCATGTTTTCATGTTCGTTTCCCTGGGGTTGAACAGGTAAAACAAAAATGTTCAACTGCAAATAAATTAAACAAGGTTAGCCTGAATGATATGCCATCATCTACCTCCTGCTATTCTCAGATTCAGATTCCTTGTGAATAAAATAAAACTAGACTTTTGAGTTTGTTTTACCACCACCATCAGCACAATGATTTGCAGTCTGTCATTCCATTCTGAAGAGGCTCTTTAAGGGAGAAGGGCGAGACCATTACAGGGCTATAAAAACGATTGCTCGTTAAAAATTTCTTGAAGCCAAATTCCTTGACCCACAACATCTTCTGGTCGGGGGTATAGAGAGGTTTACAAGACCTGATATATACTACTACTACACAAGGAAAAGAGAGCAAACCCGCCTATACAGACTCAGATCTGTAGTAATAATTAGTTGACCTAGAACCCAAATCCAAAAAATTGTATATACATACTACAATATCACTGGGTTTGCTTCTTCTCAATGCTGCTCCGGTTTCTTCTATAACAGTGATGACTGCAAAAGGTCAAAAAACAAGATACTTGCTCTGGGATAAGCAACCAGGCGACCCAAGCCTTCAACAAAGTCCTGCAGCTACATCAACAGGTTATTATCATGTTCATGTGTTCGAGTATGTAGAAGGAAGATTATTTGCAGGTGGATAATGCATCTGCGATGAATCAACTGGGGGTGTGGCAGTAAATGCTGGTTCAAGTTTCTCATTTACACTCTTCTTTGGCCTCTTCAACCTCTTGGGTCTCTGTGACTGTGGCTCAGTATTTGGAAAAGGATCATCCAGTTCATAGTCCATCGATGTAGAATTCAATTCATTCTTCTGGGAATTCCTAGGCTTTGGTGTAGCATGCTTGTCAGAAGCAGCTTTCCTCTGCACAAGAGATGTGGTTGTAAATAAATACAGAAAGCCAAATATATACAGAATGTTGCATATGAGCCAACTTTACTTTGGCAGCTGTTAAAATATCCTTCAGTACCTCAAGTCAAAATATCAGATAATAATCGAGCCAAAACAAAAGGGACAAAAACAGCAGCTTCTGTAACTTTTTTTTTTTTTTACTATATGCCATACGTATACTCCAGAAGCAAAAGAAGAGAGGTAGTACGGCTCAATAAAAAAATATCAAAAATAAAATGCAAGCCAAAGCAAGTTCAGCTCAATTTTACAGTTAGGTGTTGTTTGGTTACTGGAATGAATGTCGGGAATGAAAATAAAAATTTTATTCATATTTTATAGTTGTTTGGTTGAAAGAAATTGAAGTATTGAGAATAAAAATTAAGCATAGTTTCATTCTCATGAACAGGTGAGAATAAAAACAAAAATTAAAAAAAACATTTTCTTCAAAGTAACAATATATATGTTTTTTTAACTTTGCATCAATTAATTTTATCACCTTCACCACCACCACCACCACCACCGATGGTCAAAAAAAGATTAAAAACAAAAAAAAACTACTATTTTTATTATTTCGTCACCACTCCTTTTTAACTACCACCATCACTTTTATTATACCACCACTCCTATCATTGATGGTGGTGATAAAAAAAATTATTTTTATTATTATTTCGCCACCACTTCTCCTCCTCCACCACCACTCTTCTTCCACTACTATCTCTTATGGTGGTGTTATCAATTTTAAAAAATAATTATTGCTATTGCTATACTATTATTATTATGATCTCCTTCTATTGATCCACCCACATCACTTCTATCAGTTTTACTACAATCATTCTTGATAAAATTATTTTATAATCATTATTCTTATTTGTATTAAAAATCAAAAATTAAAAAAATTTAAATTTTATTCTGACACTTTATTGCTATTCTAAAACTATATGAAAATACAAATATCATTTCGATTTCTTAATTTTCATTTTGATTTCTAAATTCTCATTCCAAACCTTTCATTTCTAATAACCAAACAACATTTCAAGGTAACAGAATATACAGGATAGAGTTTACCTTGAAACATCAAGGCTCTTGTACATAATTTTAAATAACAATCATGGTTGCAATAACAATAGCAAATTGCGATAACAGATATAGGTTTTAACAACTAAAATATAACGATCACAGTTATCATTGTATTGAATCATTTAACAATCCGCAATAAATTTTCATCATGTTAATTTGATAGTTTTATTAAATAAACATAATAATAACACACACACACACATATATATATATATAATTACCCTACTAAATTTTAATTTAACCTAAGTTTCAAATTATTGTTAATAAAGTATCATAATAAAATAATAATTTAGTTAATAGTTGCTAGAGTGGAAGAAAAATTGACTCAGTTTTTTTTTTTTTTGTCTGCAATAAAAGCAAAGTAAAACATTATTAAATTTTTTAAATTATACAAAGTAAAAAAAAAGAACAAATTCTAAACTAGGCCGAATATCGCTTAAAATATATATATATAAAAAGTCCAATAAGAATTGAAAAGAAAAAAGGAAGTCCAATAAAAATTATATCACTAGGTTTATTTATTATTTAAAAGTATGGACCAAATACACAAGATAGGCCCAAAATATTTGTCTTCTAAGTTTAAGTCAAATGCTCACATCTCTAAACCTAAAACATCTTTTTGCTGCCTCCCTCTCTAGTGTCTTCTTCTTCCTTATACATATCCCTCTGTTTTATATCTATAGCACTAGTTTTTCTTCCCCGCCCCTCCTTTTTTTTTTTTTTTTTTGTGTTGCCTTTCTATGTTGAAAAGAACAAACTTTTATCTTCCTCCCTCAAAAACCAATTCTCCCTCACAAATTTTTTCTTTATGTTTCAATTAAATTTGTTTGAAGATTGAAACACAAACCTGAGCATCAATGGAAGATAAATTCATTTTTTCTTCTAAAAAAAATGAGTGTAACAGTCATTAACGCTATATAATATAACGGCTGTCATATATGTGAATCGTTGATATTTCGTTATAATGCCAAAAAATGGTAACAGCTGTTGATTCCGTTATATAACGGCATTACATAATGTAATGGCCGTTTTTAAAAAATATGCTCTTGCATGCACTAGCCTAAATAATTCACAAATAATCTTAAAAGAGTACTTGAGAATTTCCTCTTCACTTTCGCATCTTTTTCTTTCACATTTACTCAGAAGAGGAAGTGGTTCTTAATGTAATGGCCGTTTTTAAAAAATATGCTCTTGCATGCACTAGCCTAAATAATTCACAAATAATCTTAAAAGAGTACTTGAGAATCTCCTCCTCTTCACTTTCTCGTCTTTTTCTTTCACATTTACTCAGAAGAGGAAGTGGTTCTTAAGGCTACTAAATAATATATCTCGAAAAAGTGAACAAATTGAGGCTTCTTAAAATGTAAAGGTAGAAAAGAAACTTTGAAATTGAATCATAAAATATACTTAGAAATCACAATACCTTCTTGCTATTGGATTTCAATTTCTCTGCATCCTCAGATGGTTCATTTCCAGTACCCTGAGTGACAGTTTCTGTCAAATCTTCGAAAGTTGCATCACCTTCTGCATCTACCCGTATGGCCTTTGTTGGTTTTTTCTTTTGTCTATCCTTGGCCTGAAAACAGCAATTGTTAAAAAGATGATTACATATTCTAATAGCAACTTAAATTTAAAGCTACTTCTATCTCTGTCAGTCCTTGCTTTCTAGCTCTTCAATTTACTTTCCGTTTCTAGTGAAAATTCTAAAGGCCAGTTTTGCAGGAAGGGAAAGGGCCAAAATCTTATACCAGGAGAAAATTATCAGCAATTTACACGAGATATTTAAGAGAAAATTACAATCAATACCAGATATAAACCTCACCTGCGGTGGAATTTCTCTCAACTTCTGCTCCAACTGGGAATCATCTAGAAGCAAGGACACCACATCCTCAGGAGCCAATAGATCATCCTGAACATGACCACCTGTCATAACAAGCTGCTGCACGGTATTTTTCTGACTTGCTCTTTGCAAAATCTTTTCCTCAACCGTCTCTTTACAAATGAGCCGGTAGACAGTGACCTACACCATGAAAGAGCACTTCCTTCATTGTTATTCAGAACTCAAATAAAACTGAGCTGAGAATTCTAGGTAGTCAGAATTTGAAAAACCATTTTGTGTGTGCACGCACAAAAACACATATGAGTAGAGGATCACTATGTAAGGAAGACAATCTCAAAGGACATTCATGAAAAGGTTATGGTGATGCCAAAGTGAAAAACAGAAGGAACAACAATCAGGAGAGAACTAACATCCTTTGTCTGACCCAGCCGATGTGCCCTATCCATTGCCTGCAAATCTAGTGTAGGATTCCAATCGCTTTCATAAAAAATAACAGTGTCAGCGGCTGTCAAATTAATACCCAGTCCACCGGCTCTGGTACTTAGCAAGAATACAAATATATCATTCCTGCAATCCCAAGAGGAAAGAAGCTAAGAACTTGCATCATTTCGAAATGAGAAAGTGCCAAGAAAGGAATATTCTTCAAGCAAATCATCAAACAACAAAGAAAATACCAACCTAAGCTGGAAGTCTCTGACCATGTCCCGACGGTCCATAATGGTGGAGGACCCATCAAGTCTAAGATATCTATATTTCCTATAATTCATGTAGTCCTGCAATTGTGCACAAGTTAGCAACAAAACAAACTTTCAAAAAAGAATGGCAAAGAAGAAAAGCCAACTAATTGACATGATCCCAATTGGAAATTGTAGCTCAAACACAAATTATGTCATTTAAAAGCAAAATGCAAAAATGATGGACATATGGGATAACATGAAATTTAAATATGTATTAGTGCCACTAAGAGGCTGTTTCTAAACATGGAAAATCCAAATCAATACTCAAATCATCATTCAAGGTAACAATCGCTACAAACCATTTTATGACACAAACAGATCATATATAATATGGAGTCTTCTTGTTGATTATTCAGCACCATGTTCCAACTGGCATTTGCTTTTCCTTAAACAGAAAACTGAATTGCCTTTCTGTACTAATGTTGGATTACAGCATTGCATGCAGCCAATTATATGCACAAACTTTATCAAATTTACAACTAATTTGGTCGAGAACTAATACAGCTGTACATCAAATCATAAAAACAAAGAAAGGATAAGCCTCGACTATTTTCCAAATAAATCAACTCAATTATGCATTAATTCCAAAACTATGCTCTTTCAATGATCATATTTTCTACAAGATCCTCAACCAACTTCTCTTGTCTTCGTAGTACCCTTTTTAACAACTATAGTGAATAACTGGAAAAACATAAGTACCTCGAGAATATTCAGCATTTTTGTCATTTGTGCAAACAATAGTACCCGGTGGTTTTCTGCTCGCAATCGTTTCAGTAATATATCGAGTGTTTGAAGCTTTCCAGAATCCTATATAAAAAACAAATACAATCCAAATTTAAGCATTAAAAAATACCGTCTTGAGTTGATTGAGAGGACATGAGAATCAGAGAGGTACACACCGTGAGCAACTTTGCAGGGTCAAAGCTTTGCATGGGGGGACAAGAACCAAAAATCTTGTATGTCAATTGAAGGGCAGGTTGCGAAACAGGTAGCTCAGAATCAATCTCCTGAACAAAAGGATGAGGACCCTCTGGCTTTCTGGGCCCATTAAATTCAGATGTGCGTGCAAACCCAATTAACAACCTCTTAACACTGGGTTGGTGCAATTCTTCCACCATTTGGTAGGCAAAGTTTCTATCTGAGCATTGACCACCAATCTATGAAGGTAAGAAGATGTTAGTATATTAATAAGTTTTCAAAGGTTAACAATTCTTTAATAATAATTTTTTTTAACAAAAAAATAGACAATCTGAGAATCCAAATATACCGGTGGAGCTCTAGTTCGCGGGATGGATGTGTAAGTTGAGTGAAGGAGTTTGATGCTGGACAGAAGCCTGTCCTGATGAGAGTTAACTAGAGCCTCAAATGGAGTATCAGCAGGGCCTGTTGCAATTTTCCTTCTTAGAATATCTGTCTCAGATCTTGTTGGCGTCAATAACATCCGTGTGACAGCTCGTACTTTGCGTTTCTCAAGGTGATTGCCAAGGTCATCTTCCATGCCTTCCATGAGCAAGTCCGTGATTCCATCCAAAAATTGCCGGCCCCATCTCATAATAGAAAACAAAAGCCTCTCCATAAATGAAGTAGTTGCCAGAAATGCAACCTCTGCTGGGGACAAATCCATCAAATGGGTAAAACCAAACGTCCCACTCTTAATAAGCAAGCTATCTGAACTATTGTCCTGTGCAAATACAGATCGATACACATTTTCTGGGGCAAATATATTAAAGTGCTTGTGAAATGACTCTCTACCAACACCTCGTCCAATTGCCGAGCAAAGCACCTCAGAACTTAGGACAATCTCGTTGTGGACTACTTTCGGCACCTGGGTGGGAAAAGTAAATATCACGGCAACTCCTTTGAAAGGAAACTACTGTTGTAACCATAAAGACTTACTATTTTAGTTTTGCATTTTTCAAAATACAACATTTTTTTCTAATCACACAGACAACAACTCAAGAAAGTACCTTATACGTAATAGGATTTCGACCTCCTGAATAATGTATGTCCTCCAACTCCCCAAAAGGAGGGGGCAGAAGAGAATTGGGAATATCTCCAAAATAGAAAGATGTGCTTCCCTCGTTCCTTTCAAACAACTCTGGATGGTTACAAACCTACCATCACGAAAATAGACCGTTCAGTTTCTTGTAAAAATAGAATAACATAGCATATTATTCAAAGGTTTAGACATAACATAAATACATAATGGAGTACAATATAAAAAAAACCCAGCAAAATAATAGGCTACCTTTCTCAGCTGAATGACTATGTTCATTAGATTCATAATTTTCTTCTCATTAAGATGTCCACGATTGCCATCAAACAACTCAGCAAGAGATATCTTGTTCTTAATAGCTTGATAGAAAGCTTGTTGTCGAGAGCTCAACTTGCAGTGCACAGTAACTTCTGTCTTCCTTGTTAACTCAGAAATCACATCTTTCTTCACTCGTCGCAGCATAAAAGGCTTAAGAATTGCATGCTGTCAAAGGTACAGACCAGAGCATAAGTCAGATACACTAGAAGGAAAAAAAAACACCAGTACAAGTTCAGAAAAGGGTAAAGGAAAGTACATATCAGAAGCTGATTAGGAAAAAATTTCTTGGCTAAAAAAGGTTCACCACATTGTATTCAATCAACAGAAAGAATTACTCTAACCAGTGCACATAAAAAAGTTACAAGGTTACATATGGTACTGAATGAATTCCATGGATACATTGGGAACACATAGCAACCAAACATAATCAGCGAATTGTTTTAACTTGGAACAGTGCCTCTAAAACATCAAGAGCCTCACATAAGCCCCACATTAGTTCACCAAGAATTTGAAGGATCAATGAGGCAATTCGTTAATTTAGAACAGTGATATTTTAAGTTTCATTTTTTGAATGATTCCTTCGTATTCTGCATCAGATTCTTATGCTACATAATTATGCAGGATGCACATCTAACAAACAATTTATTAATCATGCTGGCAATGGAAACCTACGAAAAGCAATAAAGCATACTCACCAATCTGTTTAGCTGGTGTTCATTTAAAGTACCCCCATGTTCTGCATGGTTCTCAATTCTGATGACAAAATATGAGTTCAATTTTAAGTCTAGTATGTTCAAAAAACAAGCATTGACTTTAGGGAAAGCAACATACCCTTTAGAAAACCACTCATTGAACTGTTCATGGCTGTCAAATAATGTAGGCATGATGAAATGCAGAAGGGCCCATAATTCTGCCATGTTATTCTGAATCGGTGTACCAGTCAGCAGCAAGCGATTACGACAATTAAAACTGAGCAATGTCTTCCATCTTATACTGTCAAAAGCATCCAGTCATCAGATGAGAGTTAAAGCATAACATGTTTTTTTCTCTTTTTTGTATGCAATGGAAAGACAGGAAGAACGAAATCATTGGAAGATTTCCCTTTAACATCAAGAAGAGTTCATATGAGAGAAAAACACAAACTCATTCAAACATGATACTGCTCTTGAAACAATGATCAATAAGAAAAGTAAACAAACTCTGGTTATAGAGTTAAGAACCTGTTAGCACTTTTTATAGCCTGGGCTTCATCTAATACCATATACTGCCATTTCACACGCCGAAAATACTTCTCATCAGACACTAGCAATTGATAGCTGGTAATGAGAATATGAAAACCAGCATCCCTGGAAAGAATGAAAATGATTGATTATGAATAACACAGCAAAATATGGCACATGCTTAATTTAGTGACATGAGAAATAAAACAAAAATTCTTTAAGTGAAGCATCTAAGAGCTGGCTTAAGACACAACATGAAGGGAGTAAACTACAAAACCCTCAAAGGCTTAGTTTGTGGGAAATAAGTTTACAACCCAAAACTCTAAAGTGTCTAGTGTGCTTCTAAAGGCGATTATATTATGTATACTGGTTTCTCTTTTTATTGCTCATAGCATCATATATCAAAAGTGAAGTTGATATTCCAATGGCTTTAACCTATAAAAAATAATGCAGAGAGGAGAATGTTTCTCTGATTCTCCTTCCCGCATCGGAAAACAGAGCCGGTAAGTTCATAAAATTCCTAGTCAAGTCAGAAAAAACAAAACCCTAAATGTTCCTAGAAATCAACTGGAAAAAAAAAATCCAGAAAGGAGAATTACTACATGGTCCTTGCTAGCTGTACCCCTTTTATCTTGATACACATTGACCAAATCTAATTATGTGATCAGCCCAGTGAGTGCCAAATCCTCTCCATTGAACTAACCAACAAATGGTCTTTAAGAAAGCAATAACCAAGCATTACAGAAAATTACCTTCGATAAAGGCGCTTTGGATTAATGTTTTTCCTAAGTACCATCCGCTCTTGAAGCCCACCCCAATATGGAAGAGTTTTTAAGTCAGGGCAGAAACGACTGATTTCATCCGCCCAATTATTCAAGACAGAAGCAGGAGCAACAACCAGAAAAGGACCCCAAATATTTTTTTCCTGCATGCAGCAATTAAGTTAGTAAGTAAGACTAAAAGGAAAAAAAATATATACCAAAATGCACCACAACTAGAATAATCACCTCAGCCAAATGAGCCAAAAATGCCATGGCTTGGATAGTCTTTCCAAGGCCCATCTCATCAGCAAGTATACCATTTAAACCCTGAGACAATATGGACTTCTATGAGATGAGTTCAGCAAAAAAATTTATCTACTACTGATGTAGATTTTGCCTTACCTGCTCATAACAATTAACCAGCCACTGAAGACCCTTCAACTGATATTCTTTAAGGCTGCCTTTAAACAACTCTGGTGTCTGAACTGTTGATGTAACAGGCATGGTGGAACTGCAAATATTGATAACAATAACCTCATTTCAATGATGCAAATATTCAAAAGAAAACGTGGAAGAAAAAGAAAACTTTCACAACTTAATACTTGATGCGGATGACAAACTACTAAGATTTATATTTTTATTTAAATTTTAGAATACAAGGGTACTTATGTAATTTTCAGGTTTGCTGGAAAATCTGAAAATTGTCTAGGTCTAGGCTTTAATTTCAGTTTATTAGTTTATTTTCTTAGTCCTATAGTTATTAGGTTTTCCTATTCTAAAATAGGAATTGGTATGTTAGAAGTTCAGGAATCTTGTCCTCGTAGGATTTGGACCTCTACAACTCCATAAATACAGCATGTAGTCTTTCAATATTTTCAATGCAATAATATCAAATAATTTCGAGCAATTTGCTTTGACTGTGTGACTCAAAACCCCTCTTAGGTGTGACTCTTTAAGAAAATTAGGTGTGACTACTAGAAATCTACCAAAACCCACTTCAGTACAACCGTAAAAACCTCTAAACAGCCTTCAAAAAAATCAGATCCAGAACAGCTCCTAAGCTGTCCTGCATCAATACTATTAAGAGACGGCAATTTAGAAAAATACTTACGGTGTCTGCAAATCAATGTTGCTAGATCCAGCAACTGAGGCATCAGTTATAAGTCCCTCAATATCAGTAGCTTCACGCAGCTTTGAACACTCAGTATCAAAAGCACTTGTTAACAATTTCTGCTTCGAGACTGCATCTTGAGCAGCTTTAAGAGCCTCTTTTCTCAATTCAGCATCCTCAGGATCTTCTTCCTGATCAGGCACAGCTTCGGCAGCGCTCAAATCCATTACTTGATCATCTGTTGTTTCATCTCCAATTGGCAAAGCTTCTGAGGGCTGTGAATTGGGTTTGTTTGACATGAAATGACTGTAGAGTTCTGTTTGTTGTATGAGAAAATTGAGTCTTTGCTGCTGTCTTTTTGCTTCCCGGAGCTCTTGTTCGCGCTTCAAAGCTTCTGCAGCTTCTCTTTCCTCCTTTTTCCTCACCTCTGCCTGCAAAGGAAGCCATTTGAATGATGCAAACAATTAGGGAAATAATCAGTAAATAATAAAAGAAAAGGCAAGGATTACCTTTCATAAAACAGTTTTTCAGTTGTTAGCTTAAAAGTTTACAGTGCAGATAAATATTAACCACTCTGCTTAGAATCAGATATGTCGGTAAATTGCATCCCACTAGGACTCCCAATGGGGGAAAAAATCCACCAGAGCAATAACCAGGTTGTTTATTCAGTTTCCATAGGACCACATCTCTAATGATAAGAGGATTTAGGTTAAAAAGGCCATTGTGCAGATATGTCAAATGGATTCCTAATGGGTTAAATTTGGAACAGTCTTGCTGTTAAACAATGTCAGATGAGGCTACCACTTACAAGATTAGAATCTACAGCCCATGCTAGCAAGCTCAAGACTTATACTATAATACCAACCAATGATCCCTAGAAAACAAGTGTGTCTGTTTCAGCACACACATTTAAACCCTCCATGGACAGAGTAACGAAAGCCACAGGGAAGAGATGAAAGAGTTTCCATGGGTGAATGTACTCTTATACCATGTTATATTCAGAACTCTTAATTGCAACACAGTACTTATCTAGAAGATGACAGTGTCCATTATACTGAAATATAAAAAGAATAAAAAGTCCAGCAAGGAAACAGAAAGATACCATCTCCTTATCCACTCGCTTCCAAAACAGCAGCATATCTCTAGCTAACTTCCTAGTGCGAATTGCAGCACCCTTCATTATTTTGAGTGATCTACTAACCTTCATTTTGACCTGGAAAATAAAAGCAACTGTTACAAAAACATACAAGCATGGTGCTATAAAGCTGAAATGAGGAGATTATCCATAGATAAAAAAAATACAACAAAAACTACAAAAGCCACATGACATATACATGCCTCTCTTTGACAGTTTTCAGAGAACCTCTTCGCATCAATTAGTTGCTTCCGATGAAATGTAGTGAAAATCCTATGGTGCTTTGGTATGTCTCTTCTGACAATGTTTACCCAAACCTTACCAATCTTCTCCATTTCCTCCCTCTCAATGACAGAAGGGTCTTTAATTATCTTTGGCTTCTTAGGTAGACTCCGCTCAATGATCTGCATCTCAGAAAAAGAGAAGATAATTAAAAAGTTCAACAACAGCTCTGCATTAAAACTAAAAAAAAATCCCCATAACTTAATCATAGATCTAAGGGAGCACAAACCTCATATGTGTCTCCTTTCTCCAAAACTTTAACATAGAAAACCTGCATTACACCGCCCTCTGACAAAATAGAGCGTTTTATATTTCCAGCTGCCCCTTCCGGGATAGAGGAATTCAATGCCTCTTCAGATATCTTGAGACTGAATTTCTCAGCTGAGCTAGAAGCTGCCAATGCCTTCAATCTTGCCTGAAGTGATTCGTATTGTGACTGGGGCTCTCCCATCCCAGCTCGGCTTCTAGGTCCAAACCTTTTATCATTGGCTATCATGGATGCCAAGGAACCCAAATCTAACGTACCCTTCAAGTAAAATTCCTCCACCCGCATATCTTGGAAGCTTGGTAAGTTCAATGATGCTGCCAGTTTATCATAAGAGGGGGTATCCTATAAGTGACGCCATCCCCAATATCCAAATAAGGAGGTTCATAGTATATTCTGCAAAATATTTGTAAACATGACCTTCAGAGTAATACTAAAAATGAATATAATAATCATGCAATAATTCAAAAATTCATCCACTCCAATGCTCATAATGCTAAAACATACTTGGGTGTAAAATCTGGTTCACGATAGTCTCCACGTTTTGATGGAGTAATGTCATTGACCCATTCAGATGTGGTTTCCATATCATATAACCCCCTCGCTGCTCGTTCCCCAGCTTCCTAGTTTTTGAACCACCCAAACTACTCTTTGGAATGGAAATCCCCATTCGGGGAGGAGGAGGTGCAGGACTCGGCAAGGGATCCTTGTACCTCCTCTTGTACTTCTGAATATGCTCTCCCAACATCGAGCGATACTGATCCTCTGTAATGCGTGCCCCAAAATATCCTTCTTCCTCCTCTCCCTCGCTGTTGTTATACCGCCTCTTCCTCTTCACCGAACTCAACTCCCTCTCCGATAGATTCCCATTAACATAATTTGTCATTGCTCCACCTATACATAGCCAACCACATTGCACAAACACATAAATACACTTCTTTCCAGCTCCATACACGTCCAAAAATCAAAGTTTTTTGCAAACAATAGATTCATACAAACAAAGAGAGAGTATAAAACTCGACAATTATATAGCATACAAAAGCATAAAATCCAACTAGGTCCTTGTAATTCCAATGGAAATTAAAAAAAAAAAAAAAACGATTTAAAACAGAATTAACTTACCTTGGCTACCTCTGCTCTCATCCTGACTACTATTCCCATAATAATCAAATTCATCGTCTGGTTGTGGAACTCTGAAGTTCACCAAAGACTAAAAAAAACCCAAAATCCAAAATCCAGAAAATCAAAAACCCATTAACCAAAAACCAAATTCGACAAAATTAAATAAAATCATCTCCCCAAATCCCAACATCTACAAATTAATCCAATCTAAAAAACCACAAAGAGTAAGTAATTCAAAAAATAAAAAGAACCCAATTGAGAAAACCCCCATGTGAACAAACCTCAAGATTGAACAAATTGGAGTAAGAAAGCGAGTCCTTGGATTGTCTCCTGTTGTCCATGAAAGCTTAGGCTTTTGAAGAACATAAGACAGACTTTTTTTCTCTCTTTTCGTAGGGAGAAAAAAAATAAATACGAAACCCTAATAGGAATTTTGTTATTAAGAGAGATAAGAAGAAGAAGTGAAGAGAGAAGAAAGGTTAAGGAGGTGCGTAGGATAGTGAGAGAAAGAGAAGGACCGTAGGTGACACAGACGGTGTAGGAGGCATAGTGAGGTGCTAACGTGCGCCGTGTGGGTGCCATTTTGTTAACGTTTCTCCTTTTATGTTTTTTCCTTTCTTTTTTTGTTTTAATTTTAATTTTCAATTTAATTTTCTTTAGGCCTTCAAAGCTGAAGGAGATTGAAGAGATTTTATTCTGTGGAAACAGAAGGGATCGGAGACAGTGAGAAGTAGTGATTTGGTACGGTTGACCGTAGATTAGAGAAGTCGTGGTGTCGGTTGTACAATCTTACACGTTGCAACAAACGCCAACGTAGGAATACAAGGGCTTAAATGCCCCAAATTCTTTTTGTCCAATATTTCTTGTCTCGAGAAATTTTATGCTTTTTAAAATATTCAAAAACTAATTATCAATAGTTATTTTATAAATTTATTAAAAATAATAAAAGTATTTTTACTTTAAATTCAATTTTTACTTTTAATTTTATTTCTCATATTTTTATTTTCTCTTTATATCTATATATCTTTTATAAATATGTATTATTGGTTATTTTTTTAGTAGCATAAAAATTTTCTGTTACCCTTTTTTTATTTTTATCTCTCTCTTATAAAAGCAAATATTATTAATTACTCAATGAGTATCTTAAAATTTCTCTTTTAATGATAAAAAACAACATGAAGGATTATAAGACAACATACGACCAATCGTATACTAAAATGATACTCTAGTGCTCGTTGATATTTAATACCATATTAACATTGAAATATATGTTAGCAAATTTATTGATATGGTATATCGTATGCGAAATTAAGATACACATCGTTGATGTACTAATTAGGATATTAATATATTGATTGTTATGTAATTTATATTTATAAAATTATCCCATTAATATAATTTTATTCGTGCTTTTTCGAAGGACTAAATGCCTTCGAACAAAAAACCTTGCTACGGACTCCAAAGTCTCACATGGCTATGTCATTAGTATCATGAATATATCATATTAGTTAAATATGAAAAGTTGAGATAATTTTTTTTATAATACATTAAATGAATCTATTTAACATTTCGTAATTACTTATTATAAACTAAATAATTTTTATTTTTCTTTTAAAATTACAATATACTTTTGGAGTCATGATTGTACAATAATCTTAGTAAGTAATATAATTATGATATAATTACTTAAGTTACTAAGTAATGAGATAAATTATTATGCTATAATAAATAAAAATATTTAATAATTTATAATTTGAAGCACTATAATTATAACATCTTTAAGAAACCACATAAATTATCGTGTCGAAATTTTTCTCAAGTGATAAGAGAATATACACATAACGTAGAGACTTACAAGCCATCGTACTACCAAACACATATTAAAACGATATTTGAAGGCTCACCAAAACTCTATATTATACTAGCATCACAATACATGTTAGCATATTTATTGCTATAGCATATCAAACATGATAATTAAGATGTTGATTGCCATATCTAGTGTTTGTCGATGAAATAATTAGGATGATAATGTATTGACAATTATGTAAAAAATATGCTAGTATATATTTATAAAATTATCCCATGAATATGATTTAGTCATGCATTTTCCTTTAAAAGGAATGAAGGTCCTAAAACCAAATTAACTAGTTACAAACTAGCCTCGTGTGCCTATATCATGCGGATCTTTTGTGGTCCTTAAAGGATTAGTACAAGTAGTAATGAGCGAACTCTTTCCGTCTAATGTCTTTAATTCAAGATCATCATTAGCTTTTTTGAGAAATGGCATATCTATTCCTTATTAATGTTGATAAGGTCATGGTCTTTGGATTAAGATTGTTGGTTAGATGGCTTTTAACTCGGAGTTGATTATATAATTGATATAACTTATTGTACATTAAATCAATGTTGAGTATCTCGCAAAACAAACTTTTTTTTTCTCGTTAACTTTTACATAGATGAGGTGTGATCAACTTGTATGGAGAGAGGGTGGAATGTTGCTCTATTTTCTTGTGTTCGGTAACTTATAACATCTACTTGAAAATTTAGAATTCCTTTAGGCTAATGTCATTGTCTAATGGTCCATCTACCATCACATTTGGTGATAATTAGATAAGGATATCTTAAAAAAATCATAAATTTATTGAATGTAAGTCTTTTCTCTAACAAGTAGAATAAGGGGTACCTTATTTGTTTGGGTCATTCGTTCGTATTTATAATTTAGGCTTGACCCAATTGTGATGCCCTTGATTGATGGTCAAAGTTATCTTGTACATGATGAAGCCTTGCTCAAGGAAATCTTCTAATGGAGTAAGGGAATACATGTTATGATTGTGATCATGTGGATATATCGGTAGCCCTCACGAGTCTTCAACAAGTGTACCTAGCGAATGCTCGGGCTTTTTCAAGAAAAAGTTGCTAATTACTTAAGACAATCAATGGTTCTTCGCTTCTCTTTTTCAAACTTGACCGTAGTAGGTGTATTAGAAGCTAATTTAATACTTGTAACCTCAATAAAACTAAAAACACATAAGGAAATCAAAAACTCGCATGTGAGAGAGTTTGAGAAATTCGAAGAAGTTGGGCCTTTTAGAGTTTTTTTATCCATTAAATGGCATCCACTTGTGGTTGTTTTGGAGGACTAATAGCGATACGTGATCAATCCATATTAGATTAGACTATTGGCTACCGGACTTAGATTTTTGATTGCTTAATGTAAAAGTTTAGTTCTCTTTTACCTATAAATTGATAGTGGTGTCTTTGTCTTCTCATTTTTTATTGATTTTTTTTCTGCTTGTGAACTTTAAGAAAATCAATGACTATTTGAAGTTCTTTGTAAGGATATTTTTAGCGATTTGTTCCTCTTGATCATGAGAAATCTTGGTGAGCTTGACATTTTTAAGATAATCTAGTCCGTTGTAGAGTGATTCCTTTTTTCTTTAATGAGTTTATTAGAGATTTGATAGGTACATCTTTTTTTCCTTATTCGTCTTTGTGTTTGATTGAAAATGGTGGATTTAAAAAGGATGAGAGGTGTGTTTGGAGCTATTTCTAGCGAAGGAACAAACCCCGATATAAGTGCTATCCTTTTTTCTAATGGTAAACAAGGGTTTGCATCACCCCTAATAGAGAGGTACTAGTGGAGTTTTTAGTAAAAGGATGGCTATAATTTCTTGCTATCTATTACGGTTTGATGGAATTACCTTATAATTATCCCTAATCGAAATGATAGGATGGGGAGGCTAACCTTCAAAGGCATGGAGGAAACATTAAAATAAATATTCCTACTTGTACGATCGAGTACAATCATAGACTTTTTTTGTTCGAATTAATGGCTAAGGTTATTTAAAATTATGGCATAAGTATTTGCCAGTCGTCTTTTAAATAGATGAGAAATTGTTATTGCTTTTGACAATTTTGATCGGTGATTTAGGATTGCCTTATCTTTAAGGCTTTTTTTGTTTTTTTTTTTTTCTAATAGAGAATACTAGAGAGGGACGTGAGGGGTTTTATGTGTATACCTAATTAGTTAGGAAGATTAATCCATTTTATAGGATTGCAAACTCGTCTAACAATTAGAGAGAAAAGTGATTTACAATTAGGTGTAGGGGATATGCATTGATGGTAGAGTTTTATCAAGTGTAACCTTAATTTGAGGAGACTTAGAGTCAACAATCATGCCATCCCTATCCAATCAAGTGTTGATTTAGCTTTTTTGAGTCGGATGAGAATTAGGAGTTGCATGTGCAATTTGGACTTCTTGCTTAGAAATTGTTATTACCTCATAACTCGTTGGGTAAATATGTTAAATTTAAGCTTTTTTTACCTTAATTTTTTAGTTTTTGATGTGTTTTTTTTTTTTTTTGTACAATTGGCAAACTATCTAAAAGGGAGGTGATTAGAATGGACCTAAAATAAAACAAATATAATTTAGCAAGGGATGGCTTTAAAAGAGAACATTGGTGGTGTTGGGTCTCCAATTCTTTTTCGAGAAACACTACTACGAAGAGGATAAGGATTGATAGGGCTTAATCCTATATGGATAAGAGAAAGAGGATTAATTTCTTATTTTTTGATAGGGTGTTTCATCAAGTTAAGGGTTGACACCTTCTTCTACACCTAAACTTATGGCTCAAGCCACTCCTCCTTCAATTGTGATAGCTGCTCCTGTTTTAATTTTTATCCATTAACTAGGTTTTAAGGATTCTTCTTCATTTAGAGGAGGTAGTTCAACCTCAAAGAGCCTAGGTTATAAGGCTGACATTGATCCCTTTGTTATTTAGGGATCTTTTGGAGCTCTTAGTCTTTTTGGTGCTGTAGACTATGTGGTGCTATGGATCCCTCTATTACTCTATAACTAAGGTTTAATCATTTCTTTTCCTAAAAAGTTTCATTTAAGGAATGACTCTTTCGGAGATTGCTCCACTATGTGAGAAAAAAGAAGAAAAGAAGGTTGTTCACTTACTTTGACGATTTCATAGCTTTTTAGAGACTTATTAAAAAATTAGAAGGTCATTCTTTGGCTCATAACATGAAAAGGGCAATGCAATTATTTTTAACTATAAGTATTTTCTCTTATTTTTTATTTTGAATTTTACCCATATAGTATTTATATGGCTAAAACTACAAGCATTCCAAGCATAAGTTTATGGATTTCATAAGTCGAGGTTTAGGAGAAGAAAATGTTCATAGTTATGAACCTAGTACGCTAGTATGAAACTATCATCCATGAGAAAAAAAGGAGGTGTTATTCCTTCATACGGAGAGGAAAGGCAAACTAAATAAGGGTGAATGACTCTTTAGTCAAAGTTCTTACCGATAGAGGGGTTGTTGTTACCCAAGAGTTTGTTATGGCAAAAATGCTAAATGAGATTAAGAGGGTCGTCGTTTCTAATAGATGAATGTTATGGCCTAATAGAGGAATGCTACTTTGGAGAAGGAAAACTCTATATGAAAAATGAAAAATCATCTTGAAGAGTTCTCTAACAAATTTAGATGGACTCTTAGGCTTGTCAAAGCTAGTACTTAGTAATTGTTAGAGATTGTGAAAGATGACTATTTTTTAATAAAACTAAAAATAT